TAGATAGATAGATAGATAGATAGATAGATAGATAGATAGATAGATAGATAGATAGATAGATAGATAGATAGATAGATAGATAGATAGATACACACTTATGCATATGCATGCAGCATGTTTTCAATGGATTGGATTATAATGAAATTTGTAGAATTATGTACAAGGATCTTCTTAGACAAGTCAGAATGTAACATAAATTTGTAATTGTCCCCAGAATGGATTTGATTTAAAGGCTTGATTAAATCAACTCAATTTAAATCATAATTTTTAAAGAGCAACTGTCTTCTCTGTCCCACAGCGGCTCCACCTTTGATCCGCTTTTGACTCACCGACAGTCCCAATATTGCAGAATATACAGCCTCATGCTACAATAACTACAATACCAATCCATGTATTCCAATATTCACTTAAAATGGTAGTACCCTAGGAACAATGAGCTAAATGAAGCAATCATACTCAAAGGTAGCCTAACTACTGATAGAGTATCTCTAATTCATCTTAATATTATAATAATAATTAGGACTAATGAGTTAACAGATGCTACTGGAAAATAAGGAAAGGCATATTGAATGTTTACTGAATTAAGAGAACAACAAACAGAAACTGATAAATGAATATTACCTCTCAGAATCTTAAACAGCAACAGTAATGGAGCAAATTTCTCTGCATTGACAGTTTAAGGAGGAGCTTTTTGTTCTTAGACATCAAAAAGCGGCGTATTTTTAGAAAATGATGAAAGGAACAGTGTGCACCAAGGAGACATACAATACATTCAGACTGACCTTTGGAATTCTAAAAGTATTCAAAGATTTACACTGAAAAAGAACAATTTCTTTAATTAGATGCTACCATCTAATATTTGCTCAATATCACTGTTATTTTATATGGCTACACAAAGCCCTCAAAAACGTATTCCATTATATATGGGAGCAATAACAAACACCTTTATGCCTGTTCTCTGCAATCCCATGTTGCTGTTTTGCAGTATGTGTTCACATACAACCATTTTAATGGTAAGTCCATGTCATGCTAACCTTGGGGGCAGTGGCTTTAACGCTTTGCGTTTCTTCCAGAATACACGATACACATATTGTTCAAGGTGGTAAAGTTGTACCTGTATTTTAGATCTGTACATCAGCACTACAGCACCCCCATCAAACAATACTAGCAAGTAATGAATCATGTAAGCCAGATTTGGAAAAATAAGAAAGGTGATAATGCTCCCTCTGAAAAATCCTTCACCTGATACATGAATGCATATTGTATATACTTTAGAAGTGCACAAAAAGCAATTCCTAACTCATTCTTGTTGATATGGTAAAGCACTTGCTTTATATTTAGTGATATGCCAAATTTAAGAATCTTACTTTTGTTTTATTCAAGTCTGCTTTCATGGTTAAAATAGGAATAAGGTATTTGTGGTGAAGTCACTTATCAGCTAGATAAGAGTACAGGCAAGAGAAATAGTCACTGTCAAAAGTGAAATTGTTCCCACAATTTAACACAGTCATCTGATGCCCTCAGAACTATTCGACTGAAATACCACTGTGACTAATGAGTGGTTTTGCACAAACATATATAGTGTTGTAAAGTACATTCTCCTTTCTCAGATGTCACTCTCAAATATATCTTGTGTAATATCAACCAATTGAACTATTTGTCTCTCAAAAACACAAGTGCAGGGAAAAAAAAAACCTTCAGATGCTCTAGCATGTAACTGCTAATCCCCACAAACATAGCATTGTTTTCTGCCACCTGTTAATACTCATAAGATCTAAACATCAGAGTTCTGATGAGTTAATTCCATTTTGCTTATGTATCAGATTCCAACTATGTAAAAGCTAAGAAAACATATTATGTAAGACATTTATTTTCTTGATTTCAATCTAAAATATCAGTAGAAAAATAAGAGTCCAGGATGACCTTTGAGAATAGCTTCATCTTCTCTTATTTTATTTCTGAATTTGTTCTGCCTGTTGTATGAAAGCAAATCCACTAGCAAGCCACTATATTTTATAAATAAATTATAATTATAAATTTAATAAATAACATCCCCAAAGACTTTACTTCATGATCACAAATTTCTTTGCACTGTTAATTTCATCCCATTCATACTCTCTTCCCTCTTATATTGTATTTTGTTATCCAGGTGATAAAAAGTTGAATTCGCTCATTTTTTAAATAATCTTTTTATTTCCAAATATGTTCTTTCACCCCTTCATATTCATACATATCTTTACTATTTCTTGCTGGCTTAAACTTTATGTACTCTCAAATAACAATTGATTTTTACCAATAACAGCTTGCTAAGCCAGCATTTTAAAAATATAAATGGAAAAACCAGAGGTCATGAAATTCATAATCCTAAAATTAAATACAATACTATAAGCACTGAAAAAAGTAGATGAAACAATGCTTTATTTATTTATGAAAATGCATATGGCCACCCACTTACCCTTAATGACTCTGGGCAGATAACAAAAATAAAAGCCCGAAATAAAAAAAAATAAAAACAGTATCTAATACTTTAGCAGATTCATATCCTCTGGACTTCACATATGATACATTATCCATCAAGAAAACACATATCTACGTAATTGGACACATGGAGGATAGTCAATAGTGTAAAAAATAATAATCCTAAAATGATGAATGATAAATGCCAGTCTGTTCTAAAATTCTTTAAATTGCAATCATACCTTGAATACATTGTACTGAATACAATGTTCTCTACATTATTAATCATCAAAATCTCAACACTATGTAAAACACACAAGATCTGTCACAAGTACCTTTGTCATGATTGCAATTATTGCTAACATGCCATTCTCTTTAGGATGAAGACATTCCAATGAGAAATATTTAACTTTTGAAACGGCAGCAACTTATTCTTTTTTCACTTTTTATTTTAATAACCATGGCTGGTTTGGTGTTGTGATTAAAACAACAGAAATCGGAAGGCTGCAAGCTTTAATCCCATCGCCTTAGGCACAAAGCCAGCTGACTGATCATATGCCAGTCATTTTTTTTAGCTTAGGAAGAGAGGCAATAGTAAACCTCTCCCCCCCCCCCAAAAAAAAACTTGTCAAGAAAACTGCAGGGACTTATCCAGGAGTTGCCAGAAATCAAAAACTGTTTCAAAAGGGGGGGGGGGGGGGGAATCAACAAGTCAAGTTCAAAAGTTCAAGCTAGAATTTGAAGTGCACAATATGAAGAGGAAAGAAGAGCAAGTGAAGAGCATAACCCCCACATACACACTTGCTGCATATCCTACAACCTTCTCAAGGTCTTCCCAAACCTGCAGCAGATATTCAGTGAACACCTGGCAATATCACCTGACAGGTCCCGGGCGCCCTCTCCCCCAGAAGCAGCCTAAACACACACACCACTGTGGCGAGGCAACTTCACCAAGCCAGGATTTGAAGGTGGGGAGGGGAAGCATAGGCTGACTGTAAGGCGGTCCCCAACCTTTCGGACCTCAGGGACCACTAAATTCATAATTTTAAATCCCGTAGACCACTAATATGATTTTTTTAAAGAAGACAAATAGTACTATATATATGCAAATATTTTTTCTGCGGGCCACCAAAATTTTCTCACAGACCACTAGTGCAGTGTTTTTCAACCACTGTGCCGCGGCACACTAGTGTGCCGTGACATAGTGTAAGGTGTGCCGTGGGAAAAACACTTTATATATAGTCAATAGAGTTAAATAGAGTTAAATTTTGTTAACATTTTCTAACGGTGGTGTGCCTCGTGATTTTTTTCATGAAAAAAGTGTCCCTTTCCACAAAAAAGGTTGAAAAACACTGCACTAGTGGTCCATGAACCAAAGGTTGGTGACCGCTGCTTAAAGCACCGGGAAGCGGTATATAAGTCTAAGGAAGGCTATCGCTATTTAACTCTATTGACT